ATGCATGACAAGCTAGGGTATACGGTTTTCGGCTGCCATGTGGCTATTTCGCCAGGATATGAGTTTTATCAATGGTGTCCCGCTTTTGTCCCACTTTACCAATGTTAAAATGTGGTCACCTAAGGCAAACCCCCTCTTTAACTATGTTGTGCCAGGCCCTAGCCTGTGGGCACACCCCAGAAACAATAGATAGGATCAGAATAAGCAGCATTCCAAACGGCCTAGGTCTGAGAAGCTGGCAGGCTCCAGGGTGCATTATTCTTGGAAATGCAAACAAGACTGGCCCAGGTGATTCACTATTTCCATTTGGTATCTGAAGAGCTCCTGGCAGCTCACCAGGCATTAAGTCCCGGTTTTAAATTGTCCTCTGAATAGCCTAATCTATACCCTGAAATAAAAGGGTGATCAAGCTTGGGATCCAGGCCATTAACTGCAACTTTCCATCTCTTGTTGACTTTTCCAGCTGGGAGAGGTTCTGATAGAAATTGCATTGAGCAGGCTCAATCTTCCTACCTTAGTGGCAAGCAGCAGAGGAATGGAAAGCGTTTCCTCACTTCAAGAAACCACTGGCGCTTTTGGTTATGAAACAACAACAGAAAGCTACTAACCGAAAAGTTGTAGTGTTCCCAGGTCAATGTACTTAGTGTGAACGCCGTGGGAAAGGATGCTGAAGACTCAGGTGTAGGTGTTCTGCTCTCTCAGGGGAAAAAACAGTACAAAACCTAGGCTTCTCAATGAAGACTGTAGAACCCCACTCGGGAACGAGTAACAATTACAGGTGCACGGATGCATTGGATGGTGTCCATATGGCAAATAATAATAATGATATATACAATATAATAATAAGGGTTTCTGGGGGGGGAGGTCGGGGAGGGAGGGCATAAAGTGGAGCTGATTTCAAAAAGTTCAAGAAGAAAGAACATGTTTTGAAACTGATGGTGGTAGCAATTGTAAAATTATGCTTGATCTAACTGAAGTATGGAATGTTATAGTATCTGTAAGAGCTCCCAATTGATTAATAATAAAAGTAAATAAATAATACATAACACAAAAGACCGAGGCTTTTACCGTACTCACCTCTATTTCTAGTCTTGCTTTCTCCCTCACACTTGAGTCATCTATGCTTCTAGCTGCTCCTACTTATTTTCACTTCAGACCCATTTTCTTCCTTTTTTATTCATTTCATTGGGGGCTCTTACAGCTCTTTAAAAAAATCATTTTATAGGGGGCTCATAAAGCTCTTACCACATTCCATCCATCCATCCATCCATCCATCCATCCATCCATCCATCCATCCATCCATCCATCCATTGTGTCAAACACATCTGTACATATGTTGCCATCATCCTTTTCACAACGTTTTCTTTCTACTTGAGCCCTTGGTACCAACTACTCATTTTTTCCCTCCCTTCCTCACCCTCCCACCCTCATGAACCCTTAATAAGTTATAAATTATTATTACCGTAAATACTCGCACATAAGCCAAGTTTTTTCAGCACATTTCTTAGGCAGTTTTTGTGGTAAAATTAGGTTTCTCGGCTGATATTCGGGTTGGCTTATACTTGAGTATATATGGTATTTCCATATCTTACACTGTCTGCTGTCTCCCTTCATCCATATTTCTGTTGTTCCTCACCCTGGTGATGAGTTATACATCCATCATTGGGATTGGCTCTCCCTTTCTCCCCGCACCTTCACCTTTCCCTCCTGGTATCGCTACTCCCATTATTGTTCCTGAAGAGCTTACTTGTCTTGCATTCCCTGTGTCCAGAACTCTTACCTGTACCAGTCTAGCCGATTTTTTATGTAGAACTGGGGTCATGATAGTGGTGGTGGTGATGGAGGAAGCAGTGAAGAACCAGAGGAATGTTGTGTGTTTCATTGGGGCTACACTGCACCCTGGCTGGTTCATCCCTTCCTTGTGACCCTTCTGTAAGGGCATGTCCAATTGTCTACAGATGGGTCTCCACTCTGTCCCCCCACGCTCACATCAATATGATTGTTTTTTTGGGGTCTTCTGATGCCTGATAGCTAATCCTGTCAACATCTCATGATTACACAGGCTGGTGTGCTTCTTCCATGCGGGCTTTATTGCTTCCCAGCTAAAAGGCTTTTTGTTTATCTTCAAGCATTTAAGACCCCAGACGCTGTATCTTTTACTAGTCAGGCACCATCAGCTTTCTTCACCACATTTGCTTATGCACCCATTTTGTCTTCAGTGATCATGTTGGGAAGATGAGTATCACAGAATGCCAGGTTATTAGAATAAAGCTTTCTTGCATTGAGGGAGTACTTGAGTAGAGGCCCAATATCCATCTGCTACCTTAATACTTAACATATAAATATATGTACACAGATCTATCTCTATCATTATATATAAATTTTACATATGTATGTGCCTTTATTTATACCTCTATAAATGTCCTTTGCCTCCTAGTTTCTTTCCCCTATTTCCTTTTACTTTTCTCTTGTCCCACCATCATGTTTGACCTTCATTCGGCTTTCAGTAACTCCTCTAGGCTACATTGTACTTGATCAATCCCCACCAGCATTTTATGCCCTCTTTGCCATCGATTTTAGATTTCTTGTTGTTCGCTTGTCCCTGGGTTTGCTGGCTCCCCCCTCAGACCCATCTTCTAAGAGCAGTGGCTACGTGCTAAACTTTCTGTATCGTCCTCACAGTCATTATTAAATGAATAAACGAGTTCACCTTATCTGCAAATAACATGTGACTTTGGTTAGTTATGAATGATATAAAATAGTACTAACGTTTAAAAAAAAAACTAATCGGAGAGCATGTAAAGCCAGGAATTACCATTCTCAGGCTGATTATTTAGTTAGAATAAAATAATCTCAGTATAAAAATAGGTTCCATACTAATGTTATTCTCAATTCAATCCCCAATATCATCAAAGGGAAGTCTTCAAAATGTCTGCACTGGTTCTCTGCAAGAGCAATAGGGAGTCAGAAAGGGTTTGATAATGCTACAGACGCCACTCTACGTGAGACTGACTGAAAAATAGCCAGGCCAAGGGAGGACAAGGCCACACTGCAATGCTTGTTCGCTTTGAAGAGAGTGAGGCCAGAGTAGTGCCCTTTATGCTAACCCAACCGGACCAGATATCTCTGCTCTTCGTGAAGAGTGAGGTGTGGGGTGGAAAGGGGGTAGGTTCCCTTCCTTTGTCTTCTACACTTGAAGGCTAATCCTGAAAGCAAACCCGACTACAGTTGATAGTGTAACCAACAACAGACTATGTCCCCACTGTGGGTGCACCAACAGTGAACTGGTCCCTCGTAGGATTTCAGTCGTTGCTCCCAAAGCTGCTGTCTCTTCTTGCATTATTGAACATACCTTGGAATCCTGATACTATTTGGACAACATCTTCATAGACCATTAGAGTAGCAGATCTTTCTGGAAGCAGGCCAAGGCTCAGAGAAGAAAACACTGCAGAAAAAAAAAAAAGAATTATAAAAAGGATGTAATGTGGGAAACAGAAGGATTTCTCTCAAACTGTCTCCCCCCAAAATACGTACCAAACTTAGCTGCTTGAGAATGACTGTACACTGGGCGGTCAGCAAAAGTAGGTCAGAGGTTATTCTCCTTAACATCAGCCATCTAGAGCGGCCAGACTGTATAGTCTGACTCACCCTAAGTAGGGCCCATTCCCTTCTGACATTGTTCCCTTGAAGCAGTGCCTGAAGGCAAGCCCCGGACCACTCTAGGATGACTAAGCTTATCGAGTCCAGGGTCCACCCATCTTGCCACACATGCTCCCCTATTCCCTCCTCTTACTATTGCGCATTCACCCCTAGGTCATCCCCCTCCTATTGCTTGTATTGCCTACGTTGCTACCCCTCCCTATGACGAAGGTTATTGTCTGCTATCAGGGGGCTTGCATGCCTCCCAGGATAGTAATTGTCTGTTTTATTGTATGAGACACCAGAGTGATCAAACTTGTTCAAGGATGAATTGTACTGCCCCTTTCTGTGATGTATGATTCTGTAATCAGATCCCCCTAAAGTGATATGATGCATGGTTAGCAATAAATAAGGAGGCTCCCTGGTTCTCGGGAGGGTGGCTGAGGAGGACGAGGCAGCTGCTTCTACTCTGACGGCTAAGTCCCCTCCACGAGGACCATCAAGCCGGGCTGAGGTGAGCAATGCTACCATGAATTGCGTCTGACTCCATTACTTGACTCCATCCTTTAACTCTCATGCTCTCTATGACTTTTCTACAATCTCTACTTATTATTGCTGTACAATTGCTCCTACCGAACCTGTGATGTTTTGTGGGGTTCCCTCTCCCCTTGAACCCTTAAATTTCTTAAATTTCTTAAAAATCTTAAATTCTTAAATTTCAATCGAAATATCCAATTCAGGTTTTTTTGGTACCTCTGCATTCGTTGCATTCTCTGATTTCAAATAAATCAACAATATTTTTTATTAGGATCAGCAAAGGACTTTTAAAATATCTTAAGTTCTCATGTAAGAACCTCTTTCCCAACTAATGGACAGCTTTCTGTATTTGTTAAGTGGCCCATTACTTTTGAACTCTGTTTCCCACAAACTTCCTGAAACACACACACACCCCTGCTTCTCACTTGTCAACTCTTTTGTTATCAGACATTTCACATATATGACAATAGTAAAAACCCCACTATCTGTCTTGCTTGCTAACGACATATGTCTGCAGTAACAAATGCTAAGATGAAGGTTAAGGCCGTGTGTCAACTCAACTTGGTCATGACTCTCTGTGGTTTGGCAGTTATATAATGATATGATGTAATGATATGGCAGTTAAGTAATGATGTAAGCATTTTCCATTTTGTGATTTGATGTGTCATCTTCTTCTTTCACATAATGCCAACTTTTGTATAGCAACCGAGCTTTTGGAACCTGACCATGTTGCTAAGTTTATGGATGTGTGATCTACAGGGCCCAGCCCTTGATCTTGCATGGTATAGATTAATGAAGATTTAAAACCTTAAAGAGCCCTGGTGATGTAGTGGGTAGGTGTTAGGCTGCTATCCTTATGGCTGCATTCGAACCCACCAGCAGCTCCATGGGAGAATGACTGTTTATTCCCGTTAACAGTTACAGTCTTAGAAACCCACAGGGAGTTTCTGTTAGTCATCATTTAGTCAACGAGAAGGAGTTGGGAGCTGTTTATTTGTTTGTTTGAAGCCAGTCCATGGTCAGCAGTTGGAAACCACCAGCTGCACAATGGAGGCAAAGACCCGGGCTGTGCTGCTGTAGACTGCAGCCCAGAGCTGTTTACTCTGTCCGACAGCGTCACTAAACACCACATCCGTGGCAACAATGTCTTCCAGAGCAAGACCCTAAAAGGGTGATTAGGGCACACGAAGTAGCTGGAAGAATACACACTGGGGTTGTGGAAAACAGTCTGACAATTCCTTGTTACCCTTTGACCCAACTAGGTGCAGGAGAACTGAAAGCCTGGTCCACACAAAAACCTGTTTAGAAATGCTCAGAAAAACACCATCCACAATAGCCAAAAAGTAGAACTACCCAAAGATCCATCAACACATGAACGGGCACACACAATGTGAGATAGTTTTAGGATGGAACATTATTCAGCCATCAAAAAGCATAACATACGGATCCATAACATGGATGACCCAGGAAAACATGATGTTAGTGCAAGTAAGCAGTCACAAAAAGACTACCTACTGTATAACCCCATTTATACGGAATGCCCAGAATACGCAAATCCATACAGAAAGAAAATATATTAGTGGTTGCTGGAGGCTGGGGCAGGGGAAGAATGAGAAGTGACTATAAATAGACCGTTTCTTTTGGGGTGGATGAAAATATTCTGGAATTAGATAATGGTGACGAGTATACAATTTTGTGAATGTACTAAAATCCAATGTAGTCTACCCTTTAAAATGGTGAATCTTATGGTTTGAGATTTATATCTTCACGATCAAATAAGTAAGTAATTAAAAAAACGCAGCTTGAAGGATCAAAGTTAGGGTAAAAATTCACATTGGGCTTTGGGAAGGAGGATGAGAAGAAAACATCGCATAAAGACAGTTAAGAGCACCTGCTACTTCCCACCTCCCCGCTCCCCATTGGACCATGTGTAGCCCAGGGCTAAAGGAAGGCTGGCTGACTCAGAAAACCCTCCACAAGCACTTCAAAGTTACACCTAAATTTCTTACCAGTGATCCTTCCATTTAGTAACACAAGGTACTCATGGTCAGAAAGAGACTGTCGTGGCTGATGCTGCCCAGAGGAGACCATTCTTCGCTGCCACTGGATTCATATGACCCTGTCTGTCCATCCAGACTGCCCTCTGTATTCAAGAGTTCCCACAGCAATGTGCTTACTAGAACCTGAAAATCTCTGAGCTGGGCCCGGGAGGCTTAGCTCTGGATCACCTAGGCTATCCCAGGCTGTTCTGAAAACATCGCTAACCTAAAGCACCTGGTTCTTCCACACACAAGGCACCTGCTCTCACAAAATGTTTCTCAGATGTATTTCTTAACCGGGCAGAATCAGGATGGTGTATGGCTGCAGAGGTGCCAGCAGGGGGCTTCCTGGAGCAGGTCTACAGGAGTTGCATGGCTTGAGTGGATTTTGAGTCACAGAATAGAACTGGGACAGAATAGAACTGTTTCTATGGGGTTCTAAGTCTGCAATGTTCCTGGGAGCAAAATGTCAAGTCTGTTATCCAGTGGAGCCACTGGGGTTCAAATCATCAACCTATCGGTTAGCAGCTGACCAGGGAACCACCTGCCCCCAGAGCTCCTGGGACTAGGAATCTTAGCTCAAATGAGTGCCCTGGTGGGTTGGTAAGAGGCAGGCAGACTTATGTGGAGAGGTTTGAGTCCTATCAAGCAGGTGTTGTGCTTTGCTAAGTAAAGAGAAGGGACTATCTACCTTTGCTTGAAGGAGAAGAAGGGACAGGCTGGCCTTTTGGGGGCAGAAGACAAGCTTCAAGGTGAACAAACCAAACCAGTTGCCATCAAGTTAACTCTAATCCATGGCGACCCCTGTCATGACAGAGTAGAAATGTGCTTGCGATAGGTAGGTTTCTTGTGCCAACACAGCCAATGAACACGTGAGATTAATTGAAGGGCGGAGACATAAATGGCTCAGCGAGCCTCGCCTTTCTTGTCTCTTGCTCTTTGATGATCTGACCAGTGTGTGGTTCCCTTGCTTGTTTTCTGCCTCAATTTGCAAGCTACACTACCTGTGGGACACCTAACCCATGGACTGTGTCACTGTAGTTTGAGGTTCCTTCAAGACCTGCTTCGCCACACTACTGGAATTTACAACTCTTGAGCTGGGGACTGTCGGACTCTGTCATCTGGCTGACTGTTGGTGACCTGCCTTGCTGTTTGCTGCCTGTGCCTGGATAGCCTGAATTGCTCTACAGAGGACTACCCGGTGGCCCTCAAGACTTGAAGGACTGCCAGTGTACTAGATGTATCACGGAAGTGACTTTCATTGAGTTATTTGTACTGCTTTATAGATTGTTTATTTCTTCTTTCTTCTTTTTAAAATCATTTTATTGGGGG